AACTTACCCAAATAAAAACACCCATCTCTCTCTCTCTCTCTCTCTCTCTCTCTCTCTCTCTCTCTCTCTCTCTCTCTCTCTCCATCCTCCTCCAAAATGTCAAAAAACTATTTTTAAAGTTTTTTAAACCAACGCGTTTTCTAAATTTTTGATTTGACAAACATTTTTTCAAAATGATAAATCAAACACTTTTTCTATAACATTAAAATAATCCCTCAAAACAGAAAATAAAAAATGAATTCAAAACTTAAAATAAAAATTAGAAACGCAAACCAAACGCACCCTTAATTTCTGGATTATCTACTATTTGTGACTTTTTCTATCGAAAATCTCGTCTTTACTTTTAAATTAGAAAATTTGGCACCCCAACTTTTACCAAGCAGAATCAAAATTCCAAGGAAAATTATTAACCAAAAAAAAAAAAAAGAAAAAAGAAAAAGAAACCTCTTATAACTATTTTTCATAAAATCCATAAAGTATTTATCTAAACAATCTCGCCACATATACATTAATAGCTTTTTATACATTGATTAAACTTTAAACAATCAATGACACAAATTTTAACAATTCACACAATGTCAACAACAATGTCATCTCAAAATGTACATCTAGATTAATTCTTATCTAAGTGCCTCTTTTTAAATTTTAATAAAATTAAATGAAGGCCATGAACCCTGCATGGTCTAGCCCTAATGTAAGGTGAACCAGTTAGTGAAATGGCCCGACATACCTCATAAATTCACCCAACCGATGCTAGTCCAACCTCACTAATTTTCACCCACCACATCGAGGATTTATCAAATAATGTTATCCTACTCTATTGAAACATTGTCAAATTATCCAATGATTAACTGCTGCATAGGAAAATTCACCCAACCGATGCTAGTCCAACCCGACTCATTTGCACCCCCACATCGAGGTTTTATTAGAGAATAATGCGGTCATACTCTAATGAAGTTCATCCCCAATGTATTGTCAGATTATCCAATGAATAATTGCCGCATAAACAGGTGGTAGACTTTAGAATAGATGAATAGCATCACTCGCAAAATAGTGATGGTGGGGACAAATTTCAAATCAGGCCTAAATCATGTGGTTGCTTATGAGTGAAATCCAACTAAACTGAGATGAGCTTCATCATGGTCGTTAAAGTACACTTGCATGAATTGTGTCCTCTTTACTTCTGAAATTTACAATTGCGTAACTTAAGTGATTCATTTGATTCGCCGGAAAATCCCAACAAATCGAAATGCAGATTAAGACGAGAAAATATAATCCCTACACAGTACTCGACACGAGTATTATTAGTAACGCCTTTTCTACATCATCCTATTACATGACTTAAACTCGAGTTCCATGACTATCTTTAGGGACAGCCAAAGATAGAGAACAAGTCAGTTTTCTGAACCTCCGTTGAGCTTTTTGCATCACTTTGGTTGGTTTGGGTCGAGACATATGAAACCCAATGGCATCAGGTACCAACAGTGGCGAATCCAAGGTTGAAGGTCAGCTAGGGTGGACGTCAACCATTAACCATTGATCGTTGACTCAACGATCGTAATAGCGATGTCGTTTATTAAAAATTATAGATTTCTAAATCTAAATTCCCATTGACTCCACGATGTAATAGCATTTCATTCACTTTTTCTCTATTCCCTTGCGTACAAACTACAAACACATGCACACACACAAACAAGATAAATGTAGTGAATCACAACCGTTGACTCAACCATTTTCTCCATTAATTTTGTCACTTATCCCTAATTTCCTAAATCTAAATTCCCAAATCACAAATCATTAATCATTAACCATAAATTATAACTCATGCAAAAACTAATTATAACTCACAGAACAAAAACTAAAAAAAAAAAAAAAAAAGGAAAAAAAAAAAAAACTCACAGAACAAAAACTAAAAAAAAAAAAAAAAAAAGGACAAACAGAGAAATATAGCCTAGTAGCCGACAGGGAAAAAGGTGCTCACTAGTCACCAAGAAATCGGTCGACCACCAGTCTACTGTCCACCACACAAAAACAGTCCACACCACTTGCTCCTCGTCGATTATCGTCACCCGTCATAGACCACAGTGTGCGTATTGCCTCTGCTCATCTTCACCAATGTTAGTCCGCCACTGCCTTAACTTCATTTCAATTGTGGATTGGTCATTTGGTTTTGGTGGAAATATATCCATGGTCTAGAGATTCCAGTCCAGCCGTCCAAGGATTAAAGCCATTAATTGGGCCTTTTTTTTTTAAAGGCCCATCCCTCTTTGACCCAAAAATGGAAAAACTTAAAAAAAAAAAAAAAGTTAGACCCAAACCAACAGGCAGTGCAGCAGTCATCTTCTTCACTCCTTCCAATCATGTCCTTTCTTCCACTGCAACTGGCGCCTGCTCTTTGACCCGAAAATGGAAAAACTTAAAAAAAAAAAAGGGTTAGACCCAATCCAAACCAACAGGCAGTGCAGCAGTCATCTTCTTCACTCATTCCAATCCTCTCCTTTCTTCCACCGCAACTGGCGCCCGGCGACTGAAAGTTCGGCGGAGTCCAGCACGCGCGGCCACGCCCCCTCGCCGGGTGCTGGCTCCGCCGCTACCAACCATCCCTTCCCTTAAGCCCACAATTGTGCCACCTCCCATTGGAAAGGAGAACGGTGTTCCTTCTTCCACTCCAAATGGCTCCAAAGTTTTTGGATTGCTCTTAAACGATGAGTAGTCGGATGAGAGGGCAGCCACCATGAACCACCAGTGAGTAGTATCCACTCACTGTTGTCAAGACTCTCTTCAGGAAATTGCAGATTGATCTGGAACCATGAAGTAATTAAGGTTATATTAAGTTTCGAGAATATTGCACTATTAGTTTCCAACTTAGTTGAATCATGAACCTTTAAAACTGAACAAGTTTATCATCAACCTTAAGCTGAAGCCGTTAAAATTTCAATTAAATCACACCCCTCTGTGCACTGTGCAATTTGGGAAATATAACCTAGCTTCGTAAAGTTCGACATATGAGGACCAACTTGCTTCTTTTCTCAAGTTGGAGATCAACTTGTTCGTTTCTAGAAGTTGGGGATCAATTTTATTATAATCTTACAAGCAAATAGGCATGGAAGGGAAAACTCAAAAGAAAAATATTGTAAGACTGAGAGAACCTATCTCCCATGTTTAGGAATCAGTTTTTCTATATTCCGGGAGCACGCCCCTATTTTGGCCTACATTAATTTTCATTTCATTTCTCTCTTTCCTATTTTCAACTACTCAATCTTCCATAAAATAATATTACACGTAAATTGAAAATTTTTCTTTCCTTTTCAATGACTAATTTTTCAAAAAAACACTATTCCAACCATTTTCATTTCTACAAAATGGAGGCTAAACGAAGACTTAATTGTTTATGAGACTAAGGGTCCGTTTAATTGCAAAAATGAAATTTGAATGAAAAGATAACAAATTCCAAGGAATTTAACTGCCTAAAACTTGTTTTCTTTGGAATTGTCAATTAATGTATTTGATTGATATAATTTTTCACTTGCAAAATGTTAAAAATTTTTATCTTTTAGTGTTCTTTTAACTTTGTTTATTCACGAAAATTGTCAATTAAAATAAAAAAATTTGTTATAATTGTGAATAGAATAAATTCCAATTGCCCAAAAAAATTAAAAAAAAGAAACTCCGTCTGAAAAACCAATTCCCATGGTTTTGGTGGGAATTTGTTTTCCATAAAACCAAGGAAATTGCACGAGTTGGGAGGAAGGAAAATGAATTCCGTCAAAATTTATTGCAAACAAATAGGTCCAAAGGTGAATTTTTCATGGAAAATTGGCCCTATCTAACAGGGCCTAAGAGCATCATCGATGGTTAAGCTTAAAAAATAAGCAATACTTACTTTTTAGTAACTTTTCGTTTCCAAAATATGTTAATGTGACTTTTTAAGTTATAAGTAGAAGAGTTACATATTTTGAAAGTAAAAAAAATAAAAATAAAAAACAAAAAAACAAAACTTATTAAGTTAAAAGTAAACATTTTAAGGTTAGCCAAACTTGCCCTAATTTAAAAAATAAGTGGTATGGTCCAATTTTTTGCACAAAGAATTGGATTTTGAATGCGTTTAAAGGGATATTTTTCTATTAGTTAAGGGTGAAATATTTTAAACACAGAAATGTAACAAAAGGCTGCCTCAGCAGTTCTACCCTGGAACCTCCATGCTTCTTTCCTTGAACAGGCTTACCGTTCTTATCATAAATCACACACATTGAGTCGATACAATCACCATTTTTTAGGGTTATTTCTCTCACACCATAGTAACCTCCGTCATCCCAATTACTCCCTCCATTGCTTCCCCATGGCCCTACAGGTGACACCTATTGCTCTCTTCTTCTCACCAGCCTCCTACAAGAGTTCAGCAGAAATTCTTGTTGTCAGGAAAATGGAAGGGCAACAACCCCAATAAGCCCTAAATACGAAGAACAAAATAAAGACGCAAGAAGTAACTTGAACATCTTGTAAAATATCTTGTCTATGTTTTTTTTTCCATTTTTTCCCCTATTTCTTCCGATAAGTGCAAGTAGAAATTTTCGCAAAGAGTTCAGAATTCCATACCATGCTAATTCAGGAATGAAGAGACTGATGCCAGATATTCAAAGCCTTGTAGCAACATATACAAAAGGAGAGAGACACTATATAGAACAAAATAAGTGATTACCTTTATTGTGGTATCCGATTCCATTTGTATCACCATCCAGTGAAATTCCCTTTTTTCAATTTTAAAATCTAAGTTAATGGTGTAAAAGTATACCAAGTGCCTTAAATGATCAAGCAAGCATTCCCTACATCATGAAGTAAGCATCCAATGCCCCCCACAGAGGCCAATCTACAGTTACAGTTGTTTCACTGCATCATATACTTCAGAGAGTAGCGTATGGATGCTGTGGTTGATAAAGATTTAGTTGCTTTTGATCTACCATTCGAACTATCAGTGAACAAAGTATAATGGCAAAAAGAGATGCATCTAGCTAAGGCCAAATTCATTGAGAATAAAACACAGTTTGTTGCACATTCTTGCACAAAATGATTGTTTAACATGTGAAAAAAATTGCTATTGAAAACTGAAATACACCAAGCAGAGGTACCATTAGCCTAAAACTTTAAGGTGGTTAGTTTCATCTATTCTGCTGTTTAGAGTATCACGCTTAAAGCAGTAGACCATGCTACAAATGATTCAAGTAGAACTACTATATTCATGTAAATTCCACTGCTTGTCCACTGAACTCCGCTTGCAAAAGAAAAGTTAGCCTCGAGCTAACAGGATACTGGTGTTGATCTCCATTTGAATTCATAAGTTGTCTTGTCTGAATTGTTCAAGATCTCGGACATTTTAACACCTGCTAGGTAATGTCGCCAGCATTTTCTTGAGTAGTATCTGCAGCAGTACGAATCATCTTCTCGGTTCATTATCAGTGTGTGTATACACTGTGAACAAAGAAAACAGTCCAATGATCATACAAACTTCCAAAACAAGTAACAATTGACTACACAACTGACAACAATAAATGATGCAAAATCATTTGAGTTTCTTTGAGCCCAAAAATTGCACAGAAAGTGATAGATATAGCTAGTTGGTTTGCCAAAGACACAAAGACTAGAACCATTATACATCAAAATATTAATGCCTGCACTGAACTCTTTGTCATAAAAGCTGAAAGCAAACTAATTACAGGATAAATGGTCTTCAATTTGTTCCACATAGCATTACAACATATAACTAAAGATTGGGTAGAATCCACCTTACCTTTGAAAATTCACTGCTGGAAGATACCACGGTAAGCCTCTTGCGATGGAGCGCTCGTAACCAACTATCAACACTTCTCAAAACACTACTTTTTGATGTAGTTAATTCCAACTTCTCATCAATATATCGAACAAATTGTACTTCTCTGGGGTTTTCGAAAATTGTCATATTCTAGAAACAATATATGAGAAAGTGAAAAATAGACAAAAAAAAAAAAAAAAAAAAAAAAAAAAAA